ACAAAAATAAAAGCACTGTCATGAAGGGAAAAAAATGAGTCAGGTGTTGGTCCGTTAGCATCCTGGTGATCTCAAGAGAGTCCCAAATGGACAAAATCCTGACAACTGCTCCCAACACTGGGTGACACCAGATTCACTAACTTTAATACTTCTCATCGGGAGCAGATGTGATGTGGGGAGCAGACGAGTACTGTCACTGTAGCAGGCCTTGAGTAAAGGCCCCAAGTGAAGGCAAGGTCTCACTTTATGGCCCTAAGCTCATAGGTAAGGTCTCACTTGGAAGCTCTGCATCCTAGCCAAAGGCAGGCTGTGAGGGATGCAACCTGCTACATGAAACAGTGTCTCAGATGCCCACACATCTGGGTGCCCATAGTACAGATAAAGCCTTAGCTACAAGATAACTGTGGAGCAGCTCACCTATTAGGTAGCAACATCATTCTGTCATGGCTCCCTCACAGACCTTGAACCCCTTCCAACTTCCCTTGTGCTTGATTATAAAATAAATGTGCTGAGCTAGTTCAGGACCACTTCTCCTCCATCAGAGGAAAGTGCCCCACCTGGCCCCAGTTTTTCTTTATATCTTTGTGTCTATATCTTTCTCTCGCCACTCTCTTGGGACCCTCAAGGCAGTCTACTCTCTCAGTGGTCATGTTCCCATTCAGGGGAACTGGATTCTCTTTTTCCCCTCACTATTCTTAACTGAACACATGAACTGCTTCATTTTCACAAGGTTTCCTAATATGACTGAAAGCAGACATCTCAGCAAATCTCTGCTCACCGGCTGAAGGTTCCCGCAGACATCAGGAAACTCAGGGTGCTTGATAGTGTTAAAACCAAGGACTCTGTAAGGTGAGAGGATAAGTTATTTCCAGTGAATAAAGAGGACACAGGTTCCCGTACACACTACCTTTTATTTTAGAGAGGTCACTTCTTCATCAGGACATACGAGTGACGCTCATCAAACTGCCATCCTGCAACCATGTGCTTAAGGAGGGCTGTAGTTTCCGTTGACAAAAAAGGACTAACTCTTTTTTTTTTTTTTTTTTTTGAGTTGGAGTCTCACTCTGTTGCCCAGACTGGAGTACAGTGGCCGCTCCCGGCCACCACAGCCTCGACCTGCTGGGCTCCAGCGATCCTTCCGCCTCAGCCTTCCAAGTAGCCGGAATTACAGGCATGAGCTACCAAGCCCGGCTGATTTTTTGATTTACTGTAGAGATGAGGTCTTGCTGTCCAGGCGGGTCTTGAACCCGCGGGCTCAGGCAATCCACTCACCTCAGCCTCCCAAAGGCATGGGATTATAGGCTGAGCCACAACTCTTTAGTAGAGGATATTTTCTCAGGAATGTTTGAAAAACATTTTTAGTTGAAATGATAATAAAACTAATGAAATTACACTTCAATATACTGTCACTTGTTTTTATTCCTCAGCTTTCACATGATCTAATACTCCACCTATGCAACAGACTTAGAGAGGTGGTGTGTGACCTTGGTTTACTCAGATATCCACTGAGTGAACACTTTCCATATAAATCTCAGCTTGTTTCTTTTCTCTGAACAACAATCTTTCAAAATTTAAATCCACTTGAGCTCAACAACAAACATATGAAAACATGCTCAACATCAGTAATCATAGAGAAATAGCAATTAAAACCAAATGAGATATAACTTCACCCAGTTAGAATGACTATTAACAAAAAGACAAAAAAGTATTAATAAAAATGCTGGCAATGATGGGGAGAAGAGAGAACTCTTATACACTGTTGATGGGATTGTAAATTAGCATAACTATTATGGAAACAATATGCAGGTTTGTCCGAAAACTGAAAATAGAAATAGCATATGACCCAACAATCCCTTTACTAAGTATTTATTCAAAGAAAAGGAAAGCAGCATATCAAAAACATTTCCGCATACCTATCTTTTTTGTATCATTACTCACAATAGCCCAGATATGGAATCAACCTAAGTGTCCAATAACAGATGCATGGATAAAGAAAATATGTCATATACACACAGTGGAATGCCTTTCAGCCATACAGAGGAAAAGAATCCTGTCATTCTCAAAAACATGCATGAGCCTGAAGAACACGTAAAGTGAAATAAGTCAGGTACAAAAAGATAAATGCCACATGTTCTCACTCATATGTGAAAGCTAAAAATGCTCAGCTCATAGAAGCAGAGAGTTGGATTGTACTCTTTAAAAGCTGAGAAGTGTAGGAATGAGAGGAGGGTAGAGAAAGTTGGTTAAGTGGTATAAAACTATAGCTTGATAGGAGGAATGAATTCTAGTGTTCTGTAGCACTGTATGATGACTACAGTTAGCAATTATTTGTTATGCATTTTCAGATAGCTAGAACAGAGGCTCTTGAATGTTCCCTACACAAGAAAAGCTAAAAGTTTGAGGTAATGAATATGCCAATTACCCCAATGTGGTTATTACACGTTGTATACATGTACCAAAATATCACTACATATTCATATATATATACAATTTTTGTGTGTAAATTAAGAAATACAAAAATAAGGTCATGTAAGTCAAAATAATATTAAACAATGAAAATAAGTTGAAGAAATTGATATTAATTACAGAAAAATAAGAAGAGTAACCTCAGACCAGGCAAGGTGGCTCACGCCTATAATCCCAGCACTTTGGGAGGCCAAGGTGAGAGGATTGCCTGAGCCCACAGGTTCAAGACTAGCATGGGCAACTTGGTGAGACCTCATCTCTACAATAAATAAAAAAATCAGCCGGGTGTGGTAGCACATACTTGTATTCCAGCTACTTGGAAGGCTGAGGTGAAGGATCACCTGAGCCTAGCTGCCATGGCCATCAGTGTGCCACTGTACTCCAGCCTGGGCGACAGAGTAAGACTCCAAGTCAAAAAAACAAGACAAACAAAAAAAGAAGAGTAACCTCATTTGAAAATCATCTTCAAAAATTCTGAAGCATAAAGAATTGGGATTGAATGTTTCCAGAATCAAGCCAGCATGAACTTTGTAATTTCCAACATAAGTAGAAAAGAAAATTTTAGGTATATATTTGCATTTACATGAATTAAATGGTTTTTTTTTTGAGTTGGAGTCTCACTCTGTCGTCCAGGCTGGAGTGCAATGGCTGCTCCCGGCCACCGCAGCCTTGACCAGCTGGGTTCCGGTGATTCTTCCACCTCAGCCTTCCAAGTAGCCAGAATTACAGGCATGCGCTACCACGCCCAGCTGATTTTTTGATTTATTGTAGAGATGAGGTCTCGTCAAGTTGCCCAGGTGGGTTTCAAACCCATGGGCTCAGGCAATTCGTTCACCTCAGCCTCCCAAAGGCGCAGGATTACAGGCTGAGCCACCGAGCCCGGCTGAATTAAATGTTTTAATGAAGCTATTAATGACTGAAAATAAAATTTTACTAGTTTCTAAATGTTCATATGTGAGAAAAGATAGCTCTAATAAATGAGCTTGGGAATATTTAAAAATTAATTTTTATTAGTTAAAAGCAAAATAACACATTACAGTCCCCAGTGTCCATAAATGACAGAAAATATTCAGACAAAAATAACTGATATTAAACACTGTTCCAGATAACTCCAGAAATAAAGATAATAAAAAATGTGAATTACAACATATTTGGAAAAAAATCATTTAAACATATTATAGACACCATCCACATTTGTCTCAAGGTATATTAATTTATATATAATCTCCGTAAGTGTGAAAGAGAACACATTAAATATAACAAAACAAAATGTGGACACAATCATGGAGACTGGGATAATCAGACCCAGAAATGTTCTCAAGTCAGGGTGAAGGAGGTTGAACCCCACCCAAACTGCCCCCCAATCCACTCCTCCTAGGTCCTGCCTCCCTGAAGTTGCTGTTTCATGCAACTGACCATACCACTGTACTCCAGGTGAGCCCTAACCATACACCACTGTACTCCAGCCTGGGCAACAGAGATTCCAATTAAAAAAAAAAAAAAACACCAACAAAACCCTCCTACTTTCATATTGAATATACTCATTCGGAGAGCTGTAGGAACAAAGATTATAAGGCAGTGATATTACAGTATACTTTGAAAATAATGACATGAAAATTATTCCATCCCTATTAGCCTGAAAGGCATTTTAATGTATTAATCATCTCAAAAAAGTGTAAAACAGAACAAATTAAATGTAAAGAAGCAGAAAGTAACTTCTATTTAAGTGGCACATTTTGTTTTCTTTAAGCAGGGCTTCATTCTTTCACCCTTATGGCCCAGAAATCTAGCCAGGTGAAATCCCTGGAACCGAGTGAGCCCAGGTTTTTGACTTGGGCTCCCAGATGCATGGGTCGTAGAAGTGGAAACTACTTTGTGGGCTTTTGTGAAAAAGCACACATTCGCCAGTAGGGCAGATCGCATTCTAGTTCCCATCTTCAATAACCGATTCTCACAGAAGCAGCCACAGATGTTTCTGATCTAACCAGCGCTCACAGGGAAGTCCTCCTGGATCCTGGTAACACCGCTGCAGAGTCTATCCAGCCAGACACACAGGGCATGCTTACAAGAGGATTTTTGACTTAAACAGTTTTCAAGTTTTTGAGGGGTTAACATCTCTGCATTCAATTTCAGTGGCCTCACAAACATAAGCTTTTACCTTAAAGATTTGAGACGTAACATTTAACGGGTTGGCTTAGACACCCAACACATTCGCGGGCATCCAAACTTGGAGACTCGGATTCTTTTACGCGGACGAACACTGACCCGGAAACGATCTCGAGGAAGGGCAAAGGGCGGCTCAGGCCCCGCCCACACACCGCCCCGCTTCCGGGCTCCTTCGCTCTGACCGAGGTTTCCTGCCAGCCCGGAAGTGGGTTTTCTAGGTTGAGCTCCCTCTTCGTGGAGTGAGTTTCCTTATTTGTTTTTCATACCTGTGTCACTAGCTCGTCGCCACGTTCTCTACACCCAGGACCCTGGCCGCTGCGGGCGCTACCCACATCCTTCCGTCCCTCCTGCTGGGTATTCAACGCCGGGGGAGATGCTCCAAGGCTGGTTGCTCGTGTTTGGGTCCCAGGTCGGCGCCGGATTTCGGTTAAAATCGCTCCGAGGCGCGTCCCACCCAGACCATCCTACCTTCAGTCTATTCACCGTTGCTAAAGCTCCCCACTCGGTGTCGCGTTGGTTCCTCACCAGGTAGATGACTTTTCCGTGTATCCGTTTCTAGCCTCGCCTCTGTGACCTCTTAAGGGCAGAGTCGGGAGGCCACGCACTCCCCGTGGCCCTGGGATTCTGGAGACAAAGTCCTTTCCTGAATCCCGGCGTTGCTCCTCAGATCCTTCTGGTACCCGACCCTGCAGTCCGCAGGGTCCTTCGCAGTCACCCCTTCAGGAAGGACCCCCCCCCCGCCCAGCCCCATACCGGAGGTCTTAACTCGCCCGTGTCCTGTGATACTCGGTGTTTTCCCCATATCCTACAAATCCAGTCCCACTGCCTGTGCCCATCAGGTTGTGTTTACATTCTTGATGCTCTACTGAAAAATGTGCTCTTTCTTTGCACGGAACAATTTTTTTTCCTATTGCTGTGAATGTGGAAGTGGAGTTGGGGTGTGAGGAAAAAGTGAGATGGAGAACAGGGTGGCAAAAGCTCACGGTAACTCTTCCTCTTCTCATAAGGAGAAAAGTTTCATTGGATTAGGCCCACACTAAGGGCGTTATTAGTCCCCTCTTTCAAGGTCATGTATCTTATTTATTACATGCATTTAGGGGCAAATACAGATACATTCTGAGACACTGGGTGCTGGGGATGCAGCACATTAATGTTTGGGGAAAAAAATTCATTCCATAACAGTTGGTTCATTTTTAAGCCCTCTGGTTTTTAAATTAGGGTTTTAAAAGTTATACATTTCTTCGGGATTACAACTGGGTTCTTCTTAATGATTGCGACTATTTTCATTCTTCATGGAACTCATAATTGATTAGTAATGTTCATTTAATTTTACTATAATCCCTTTGTTATAAACGTTTATTGTCTTTTGATTAGTTTTTTTGGACTGCATGATTATTGTTTATTTTCATTTTGATTTTACTGATATAAGCATCTGTGGTCTATTTGCTATATATACATTGTTTTGGAATTTTCTTCATGGTCAGTTACAGTCATTTTGATGGATGCCAGTGGGTTAACTGAAGCGGAATAGAAAGTCTTTACAATTTCATTAAAAGTCCATTTGTATTTGCTTGTTAGGATATAGTAATTCTTCAAAACATCTATCTACACATTATTGTATTTGAGCTATAATAAATTCCTAGAAGGTTAATCCCACCATTCAAATTTTAGGGTTTATCATTTTTCTTTGAACATCTATTTTTCTACTTATGTATCTTTCCAACATATACGTATTTTGAGCTAAATATTTGTAAATATATTTTTGTTAAATTTTTTGCTAGGAATATACAATATCATTTCTTCCTCTTTTTTGTTGTATATTTGATACATACCTAACCTCCTTGCACTTATTCCAATATTTTTAGAATGAAAATATCAGTTGTATAGGACATCTTTACAAGAGTTAGTATCTGTGAAGTGATTAGGATCTTACCTGAGATATTATGAAAGAGCAGCAGTCATGGCAAAAATATATTTAAATTCATAATTTCAGGTGAGTTATGTAAACCTTATTAGCCAATATTAATATCTTATTTAACAGCATATATTGTATGAATTTAGGGGAAGATACAGGTGCATTTAAGATGCAGATGCAGGAACTCTCAGTGAACTCCTTGTTTCTGGCAAACAGGCAGAGTGGTTTATGGAAACTATCAGATGTAATGAAGAAAACTTTTCTTGATTGAATTTCTTTAATTATGATATGGGCCAGTTGTGGTGGCTTATGCCCCAAATCCCAGCACTTTAGGCAGATAATGCAGGAGGATGACTTGAGCCCAAGATTTTAAGACTAGCTAAGTAACATGGTGAAAACACATCTCTACAAATAAATAAATATGATATGGTTTGCAAAATAGTGTGTCATTAGTGAACTGTGATGATGATAGTGATGGTGGTGGTAATGAGGATGATGGTGGTGATGGTGATGATGGTGGTAATGGTGAAGGTGATGCTTATGACAAGGATGATGGTGGTGATGATTATAATGAGGATAAATTGTAAGTTTTTCTTATTGTGAAAAGTATATTCTAGAGTAATTTTGACTTCCTGATTAATCCACACTCATAGAAACTACATCCTTTTTCTCTAAAAACTTAAGTAGATAGGTAGACAGCTATTAATTGTTTCAAAATGCTAAAGTACAAGTTAGCAAAAAATGCTAAAGTATAAGTTAGCAAAAAATGATAGGGCATTAAGATACACCTGGGAAACAGTTTTTCATTTGAATACAACTATTATATTGATTCATCTGTGTGTGTGTGTGTGTGTGTGTGTGTATGTGTGTGTGTGTGTGTGTGTATCCATGTGCCCTTCAGGGAAACGGGCCTTCCTGGAAGAAGTCCAGATTTGGAGACCACACCCTGCCCCTGAGTTTCTGATGCCCCATCTATGCTGAACATTAATGCTACAACACTTTCTCAATTTTGACTGCCTTTCTGTACTTTGTAGTATCTAGTCTATCCCACTATCTTTATGTCTGGATATAGGGATTGTGCTTCTGATCCTGGGACTGCTGAGAGTGTGATGGATTGAGTGACTGGAGTAGTTTCCTGCTTCTGGGGCATACTTAATATATATTGGGAAGGCGCCACAGTTTGTAGACCTTCCCTCCAGTCTACTAAGCTTGCCCCGTTGGTTTCTGGGTCCCTGCAAATTCTTAGGAAAATTTGTGGTTAGCCTGGTGGACTACTATTGCCCTCCTTGTGTTTTTCAAGCAGACAAGAGTGGTCGCTGGTCTTACAGGTGATTTATAGTATTTTCCATAGGCCCAAATGGGTCAAGCTGCCCTCCCAGAGCATTCCCTGTCAAAACAATTCTTCCAGGCCTCTGGAAAGAAATGTGGAAAATGTATGAATGATCACCCTTGGAAAGAAAACTGAAAGTTAGCTTGGGGAACTGGGAGTGCTGAATATTTTCTTCTGTTTTGAGGAACGCTTCATCAGCTTGGTCAGTAAATCAGACATAGTTCATTGTTAGATAAATATTATTCAGCATTTTATAACAACAATGATAGATAATAACTAATAATTACAATCCGAATGATAGACAACACTAGCAATAATGGTCTTTATGATGATGAAAAGGAAGAAGAGGGAGGGGGTATAGGGAGGGGAAGAAGATGCTTAAAGAGATGGGTGAATAGCCTATAGGTCTCTACTAGGTAATTATCAGTTATCCAGATCAGGACTCTTGGCATGGTTTGAGTCAGGGTCATAGTTTGGCACCTTTAATCATGTCCCTGAAGGCAAAGGACATGCAGAGGTAGTAAAAAAAGAAACAGTAGAAGTCAAGCATAGGTGACCAAAAGGTCTCCTAGAGGGTGAGACATGGGGGATAAAAGAAACCTGGGTCCAATGACTTCCTTCTGTCCTGCACCCATCCCTCTTCTAGTGCCTGGACATTTGATAGGAGGCATAGGGAGTCCCTACAAGGAAGGGCAGACTACTGAGCTTCACTGTGGTTTAGGCCTTTCCAAACCCTGTCTGTTTCAGTCAGTCCTCAAGTCTCTATTAACCTGAGGTCCTTGCTGTCCTTTCTGCCTTAAGCCACCTTCAGGTCTGGATTTGTCCATTCATATTGCTTACACTCCTTGTACATGCATTTGTGATTTCACCAGGCAGCATGAAGTTTCCTGGACTCTGAGGACTAATACTTAGGAAATTTGCAAAGTTAAGACCTGAATAGGAACTCTGTCCAGCACGTGTAGACAGCCCCAGGGACTTCTGAGCTCCATCAGGTACTAAGAAAAATTTACAGTGAGCTTGGAAGGCAGCATAGAACCTCCCTACATCTCTGAGGCAAGCATGAATGGTTCTTGGGCATCAAGCTGTCTTAGATAATTTTGTGGACTTTCTCCCTTGGTCTTCTAGCCAGAAAGTTGCAACCTTGAGGACTTTGACATTTTTCTAGAGATTTATGGCTATTAAGAACCCCTTCATGGAGTTCCTCTAAGAGGATGAATGGATCCCTTCCTTCAGAATATGATGTAGAATAATTGAGATGGCACCTCTGACAAGGGCACCCTGTGTTACAGTGGATATCAGGAGTGACTTTGTGTCTGTATGTCTGTTGGGGAGCCCTCTTCAGTAAACTAGGAACCTTTTGTCAATATATTCAATGCTGTATAACTATAATTTCAAAAGTAACTCATAATAACCTCAAATAAATATCATGATGCATATATACAATAGTGATAATATTGATGGTCATAATGATGATAATAAAATAATTTTAATATCAATTATTATAGTCTCAAGAGATTACAAATTAGAGTACATATTCCCCTGAATGAATGGCAAGGTACTTAAATCAGACCTAGTAGGATTAGTTTGGAATAAAAGTTGCAGGTTTGTATCCTGAAACATGTTTCGTAAGAAAAAGAGTTGTGAGATTTTGTTTGTTGGATCAAAACAAAAAAAACCTGGAGTACTTCCTTGGTGAATGTGAAGATTTCTTAAAAATTTCAGTAGCAGAGCCTATAGGGCAGAGATGGATGAACCCTGGCTTGTGCCTGCCCACCACCAGATAGCCATCAGGATTCAGAAGTCAGACTGCTGACTGATAGGCAAAGCTTCATACAGAGAAGACAGGAGTGCAGATCCTACGGGCCTCCATGGAACATTAATTAGTCAGCACTGTCTCAGTCCTCAGTGCCTGGAAGCTTTTCTGCCTTTTGCTCTTCAGAGTCTTCCAATGACTGGATATCACTATTCAAATGTCCCTGCCCAGAGCTTCTGGAAGAGCAGTCAGGAACTGCATAAATGGTTTAAAAATTGTCAGTTTCACTGCTGCTTTCACAGTAGAGAAAATTAGAGAATGAGTTATGTCAGAAAGCATTATTGCCTATTTTTAAATTATTATTTAAAATTTTGATAATACATAAAATTTACCACCTTAACTATTTTAAGTGTACAGTTCAGTAGTATGAAGTCATATTTTTGTGCAATCTTCTACACGATCCATCTCTAGAATTCTTCATCTTGCAAAATTGAAACTGCCTAACCATTACAGATATAGTCATAGATTTCCAACGTGTATGGTTCTCTCCTGTATCCACCAAACCTATAATGTTTCCTGGCACATAGACTGCATTAAAGAGTTTGTGAATGAATAATGAATTGAATGAATCATCCTAATTTCCCTTTCAAAATGGCCTTTTTTCTTTGCTCTCCAGCTTGTATGAGAGTTACAGTTTTTGCAGTTGTTTGGGAATCCAATCTAATTTAACAGAGTGTGTCCCCAGAACTAAGCTGTGATTAGGTTCAGTGTTAATGCAACTAGGGTGTGTCCCTGGAATGTAGCCCTGATTAGGTTTATTTACTGTTTTTCTGTATAATAGAGGATGCAGTTTCTTCAGGAAGGAAAAGATGAACAGTTCAGGACATTGAGAGAAGAGAAACTGCTTTTCTGTGCTTCAGGACTTAGTTGGCTTTACTGTTTCCTCCAATTATTGGATTTCTGGTGAGTGTTCCAAACAGTTAGGTGCGATATGGCCTCATTCTCTCACAATGATACAAGTCTTGTCTATTTTTAGACATTTGCCATATGAAAGCAGTAGCTTATGATCGTTAAATTTTATTTTATCAGAACTTATTTTATTACCCTCATTTTCTAGTTTGAATATTTGTTGTACCTTTTCTATTTTTAAAAAATCTATTTCATTATATTAAGTGTCTACTTCATGATTCTAGATCTGTGCTATCTAATACAGTAACTACTGGTCACCCATGGCTATAAAATTTAAATTACATAACTACATTTCAGATCCTTTGTAGCATTAGCTAAATTTCAAGTGATTTGTAACCACATATGGCCTGTAGCAACTATATTGAACAATACAGATATTGAGCATTTACTTTCACAGAAAGTTATACTGGGCTTGTTAATCAACATCTTTTTTTTTTTCTTTTTTGATGATAAACTTTTTTCTGCTTCTTTGAACTAGTTTTATGTATATTGTCATATAATTTTTTTATTCCTTTGACTTTTTGAGATATGGAGACCCAAGAAAATGAAATTTATTTATAAAAAATTGTGTGTTCTTACATATTTAAGCTTCAGTCACCTTCAAAGTACACTGCATTTGATGCAATACACATAAAGATAGTGAGATAGACTAGATAATACAAAGTACAGAAAGGCAGTCAAAATTGAGACAGTGTTGTAGCATTAATGTTCAGCATAGATGGGGCATCAGAAACTCAGGGGCAGGGTGTGGTCTCCAAATCTGGACTTCTTCCAGGGAGACCCATTTCCCTGACGGGCACATGGACACACACACACACACACACACACACACACACACACACAAATGAATCAATATAATAGTTGTATTCAAATGAAAACTTGTTTCCCAGGTGTATCTTAGTGCCCTATCACTTTTTGCTAACTTGTACTTTAGCATTTTGAAACAATTAATAGCTGTCTACCTATCTACTTAGAGGTTTTTAGAGAAAAAGGATGTAGTTTCTATGAGTGTGGATTAATCAGGAAGTCAAAATTACTCTAGAATATACTTTTCACAATAAGAAAAACTTACAATTTATCCTCATCGTAATTCATCACCATCATCACCACCACCATCATCCTTGTCATAATCATCACCTTCACCATTATCACTACCATCACCATCATCCTCATCATCCTCATTACCACCACCATCACTATCATCATCACAGTTCACTAATAACACACTATTTTGCAAACCATATCAGATTTATTTGTAGAGATGTGGTCTCACTAAGCTAGTCTTAAAATCTTGGGCTCAAGCCATCCTCCTGCTTCAGCTGCCCAAAATGCTGGGATTTGGGACATGAGCCACCGCACCTGGCCCATATCACAATTGAAGAAAATTCAATCAAGAAGAGTTTTCTTCATTATATCTGATAGTTTCTATAAACCACTCTGCCTCTTTGCCAGAAACAAGGAAGTTTTAGTGCTTCTGCCATTTTTGTTTCACCTCTTCCATATCAGCAAAATATTTCCCTTTGAGGACTATTTTTCATCCAGATAAACAAATAAACAAATAGTCGCTTGGAGCGAGATTGGGTAAATAGGGAGGTTGGAGCATGGGAGTCATACCATTTTTGTTCAAAAACTGGTGAACATGCAGTGCAGTGTGGGCTTGTAAATCACCCATCATGAAATAAGCAAACTCATTGGAAAAAATCTCTAAAGCTGAATGAAGCTTCTCACAACAACCCTAGCTGGTACACTGATGCTAATGGGTTTCTAAAAACACTTCCCTAGAGGAGGAAGCCTCTACTACAAGGGATCTACCCTCCAAAAAATAATTCGAGGTTTTTTTTTGGTCTCCCCTCGTAAATACTTATACTTTTTTTTACATCCTTTAAAAAATAATATATCTAAGGCAAATAAATGTCCTGTGACTATTATTTGTGCTTTATTTTACTGGTATTTTTACATAATGTATTCAGGTATCATTTTTTATAATGAACTTTCTAAAAATGATGCCAAGGCAATTAAAAAGAGTTCCCCCTTTATTCTTAATTGGGAGATTGTGTCTTGTATTCTTGACATACTTCCTGGATCTATTTCATTGTGTTGCATTTTCCCCTGCAAAAATGTGAGGTATCCTTCATTCTTGGACACAAACAATTTGCATTCAGTGGACATTGTGCACTGGTTTGAGATAGTAAAGCAGAGTAACGTTAAAAATAAATATTTTGTTGCAGGTATGGTGCTTTTGTATATTCAATTCTAGAATAATTTTAAACTTCTCTTTACTTTTATTATTTCCTGAAGGGTTTTTTTGATACATTGGATGCTTTAAAACATGCAAGGCTGAGTTTAATTTGTAATCTAATTTGAGATGACAGGATTTTCCACTTCTATAAATTTGACATACATTTTTTTTTATTTCACACTTACTTTATATTTAAAGGTATCATCTTTTACTGTATGTTTGTTTGATCTTTGCTTTTCTATTGGTGCACTGCTGCAATGTAATAGACAAGAAGGCAAAGCTATTCTAGGTATGTCAGCTGTATATCCTTAGAACCTAGATTAATGCCTAGACCATTACTGGTGTTGAGAACTGAGACATCACACTTAATAGCACCACTTTTCCAGTAGTTATGAATGGAAAGAAAAGAAAAGGACAAGTGAGTGGATATAGTTACCAGTTATTTTTGTTGATAGATTAGTTTGAGAACATGGTTTCTCATGTAGGAGAACAAATACCCCCAGCAATGCACCCCAGAACTAAGTGTCTCCAGATAGCTTGGTAAGGACTGGGAAATCCCAAGTTTGCTCCTGATTGCGAGGAATGCCCTTAAAATTCTAACCTGATATTGAGTGAGCTGAATGCCTCCTTCCTGGTGGCTCTAGAAGGGATCTGAAAGGAGATTCTGAATTGTGAAATCACCCATCTTGAAGTCACCAGAGACAGTCACTATTCCTGCTCTGGTGAGAAGTCAGTCAATATATGTTTGCATGCATGAATGATTAATGTACAACCACTGAATATGTTTTGTTAGTTCTAAAGTTTTCTTCTATAATTGTTTTTGAAGTACATTTAATCCTCATCTCTTGAGATGATTTCAACTAAATCAACTCTAATTCTTCATGCAATGAGTTTGCTTTGACTTTCTTCCCCTATCGTGTCATTCTCTATTCCTGGCATAGTCTCTGTAACCAGGAAATTATTGCTAATTCATCTATAGGTTATATTTGCGAATGTGTTCTCTAAGTGCATCTCTTCTTGTGACATTTCAGGAAGACTTTTCTTGGTAATAACATATATAGTATGTTTCTGTCTATATGTATAATGGAAATTAGGAATATTGCAACTAATAAAGTTTAATATAAAACAGGATTGCAAATACTTCAATTACTACTTTAATAAAATATTAGGGAAACTAGATTTCTTAATCCTCATTCTATATTTTTGAGCATCCTTGACCTAGAGGTTTGAGATAGTAAAGCAGAGTAATGTTATAACCCATGTGTTCCTGTTACTTTTTGATGCAGGAAATTTTTAGGGCTCAGTTAGCAGGGTGGCCGCATTGATCCTTCCAAATGTAATAAAGCTTTGAATTAATTAACCTTATCATAAAAGACATTGTAACTTGACTGATATCCAAGTCTGAGGGGTATAGCTGTAAAAATTAGGGTTAAGGGAATGTGGAAAGGGAGTGAGCTTCCAAGGGGCTATGAAGGCTATTGAAGAACCCTTGCTTGCAAATTTAGCATGGATAATAAAATCTGAGAAATTCCACATTGTATATCTATATATGAAAATCAAAGTTCACATGTGGAATAAGACAGTGATCCCTATGTTTTGCAATCTGCTTGAATGCCATAGGCTGATTACTATATACAAATCAGTGCTTTTCATGTTGATGTTCTTAAGACATGGATTTCTGTTGTTTTTATTAGCAAGCACATCATGGCCTTTTTAATTTTGACTGTGGGATAAGAGAATAATCCTATGCCTGTTTGTGTTAGAGTACATTAGATTTTGTTTTGCCTAGGCAGGGATCATACTCAAGTGAGTATCTAGGGTTTCATGACAGGTGGTAGGACTGAATTGTGCACAAAACTGGAGTTTCATGTCTTCTTTCTCCATCCACAGTTTTACCTTATTGGTACTCTTGAGAGTGTAAACCCAGTGGAAGACATCAGGAAACTGAGTTACTAGCAATGCCTCCTCTGGTGAGTAGGGAATGCCTTTTGCTACTGAAATTACACCCCTATTGCCAGTGTGTGGGCAGGTTTAATTTATTTGCATGAATACTCTAAGTGTAATCAAGAGGTATTCAAGGATCTGAGCTTCAGTTAGGTTTCCCAGGACCCTGGATGGTTTCATGGATTAGGAGCTCATCAATAACAAATATCCTTCTGAATATCACACCCATTCCAGTCTTTTTTAGGGTTGTGTATTTACAGAAGAGATGAAAATTTTTTCTCTCTCATCCAGTGCACGGCCTCACTAGAAATAGTTGATTAACTGTCTCTATTAGGTATAAAGGCTTAGGATTGTAGTGTATGCAGGTGATAGGCATGAGTGAAAAGTAGATCATTACAGCCCAGTAAGGAGGCAAATATTTTAACAGGTGGGTTCACTCAATCCAGTTGTACAAGTCCTGGAGTGAGGTCTGTGCAATGCTGAGTTAAAGCAAGACGGTTAGGTCTAGGAAGGCATGAATAATTCATTTTGTTTCCAGTTATGAAGTTCTCAAAATTTGATAGAATGTACTTGAACTTTTGAAAACTTCCAAAAAGATACATAAGATACTCATTATTATACTTTTTTGCAATCATTTTTCTTACCTATTAATAATTAACCATTTTTTCATATTTGATCATTGGAAGTAATATATAGGGAGTATTATTAACTTAATTGTGGCTGTGCAATAAAGATTAAAATAGGAAAATGAATATAATAGGTAGAGAAAAATTGAAGGCCTGGGATAATTTTTGAAGAACTAAATAGACAATAACCAATAAAGAAGGTTCTTTCATACTTGAACAGAGAGACAATATAGAGATGCTGGAGAGACAATAATGACTGGTGTTAGAAGTTCTTAGAGGCTATTGACAATGGGAAGTGTCAAACTTCAGGAATTAACAGGCTAGGACTGTTCAGTACTGAAGTCTAGGAGGTCCCTGGCTTGTGCTGCTGAACTATTTGTCCTTAAACCTCACTATGAATGCCTGATTTATGTAGAGCTGAAAGAGACTGTACCTACTGATACTACGATCTCTATGAAGCTTTTTCAATTCAAGGAATGCTGAGAATTACTTAAAGTTTTCTACCATTTTTATAAATGGTAGACTGATGGCTTCTAATATGTGTTTGAGAGACAGGAGGAACTTCACACCTTCATTGGATTTTTCAAAACTCAAAAACAGATTATTAAACCATTTCATAGTTGAAGAATCTGAGGTGCATCTAAGAGAAAAATTTTTTTTTTATTAATCAATATTTTTTATTATGGTTTTGTGGGGTACAGTTAAGGGTTAGGTGTACAATTACGTTTCATTCAGGCACCCTGTTGATAAGAGGTGTTTTCCCATTCCCCAGACAGATATTTGCTACTGTTAATCCCATCCCCCTCCCCCCCATAGTTTCCCAGTACCGTCAGTCATTTTCTTATAGTATTACATTGGATGTTCAAGATCCATTATATGAGTGAGAACATGTGATACTCTGATCTTTGTTTCTGTGAGAGGTCACTCAGTATTATAGATTCTAGTTCCATCCAGGTTGCTGCGAAATTCATTATTTTTTCTAAGAGAAAAATTTAACCACAGTCATGATTTAAAAGTGGCAGATCCTTGCCTTCTGTAGTTTTATAAAATACTTAAAATTAATGGAAAAGAGAGTTTCAGTTATGAATTTTCAAGTGCAGATTTTATAATGACCTGTTTGGAGGTCATGCTTAACAGTTTATTGGAAAATTTCCAAATTGTATTGCGCTGTATCTTATGTAATATTCCTTTATAAGAAAATGTTATGAATTCAAGGCGTGTATGTCTCTGTGAGGGTTTCTGAAAACAGAAATTCAGCTCAGCACTGAGAATGAACAGTCTGGAACCATAAACACTGATCTTTCTAAACACTCAGCTCCTTCCATGCCTCAGTTTTACTATCTCATCCCTCGTTCTTTAGACATTTACAGGATGTCTCTGTCTAAACTAATGTGTATGATGTTCTAGAAACCAGTGACTTTTGAAGATATAGCTATAAATTTTACACAGGAAGAGTGGGCCCTACTGGACACATCAGGGAGAACCCTGTACAAAGACGTAATGCTAGAAAATATCAATCATCTGATCTCCGTAGGTGAGTCTGTAAACATTTGTGTATGTAGGTATGTATATATGTATGTATCCAATCAATCAATCACCAAGTATCAACAAGAAACAGCTTCCCTGTATCCCACTCCAGTCTATTCTGATTCTTTCATAAGCCTTATAACTACAAGAAAGAAGGTTTGTTTATAACCCCACTAGAATGTAAGCTTGACCATGATTTCATGTCTTCTCCTGGTCCTAAATCTCCAAACCTCAAAGCAGAACTTAGAATTTAATAAATATTTTAGAATTCACAAATAGATTTACTATTTTGTAAATTATTTTGCTCTAATCACTGTTAGAGGCTTAAGACTAGAGTCGTGAAAATAACAGAACTTTGGTTATTTTTGTTGGAGCATGTTTAATGGATTCTATTTGAAAATAATATTGAACTCACTGTGGAGACTTTTAATTTTTCCTTTTTTGAAAATATTGCTAATTTGCATTCTACCTTTGAATTTGAGCATCCTGAGGTCCTAACTGTTTGGGGTACTTAATCTAGATGTGTTCCTGGTCTAGTGAAGAATCATCAGTGTTTTAAATATATTCCCTGGGCATTCAAGATTCTCCTTATTCTTCCTAAGTAGCCTTCTATGGCCTTGATGTTAATAGACTTGTTTTAGCATGAAACTGAAAATCCATATACCTTTTTTTCCCTCATTAACAGGATATCAGCTTCAAAAATCAGATGTGATTTTCCATTTGAAGCAAGGAGAAATGCTGTGGATGGTGGAAGGAATAGAATTTCCCCAAGGCCAGAGTCCAGGTAAGCAGCAGGAACTTGTACTTTTATGGACAGGTGCCTGGTCAATGTCTGAATATGTTCTTGGGAATAGCAAATGAGTGTTTTGTTAAGTGAATGTTGTTTTCTGCAATGTAGAAGAAGACATTGGGACAAAATTTTTCACATGTTGTCATTATTCCTTTTACGTATCAGTCACAATTTATTGTTTTTGGCTGTAGGGAAAAAGATATTACTATATCTCTTGGAGGTAAATTTTTTTTTTTTGAGTTGGAGTCTCACTCTGTCACCCAGACTGGAATGCAGTGGCCGCTTCTGGCCACTGCAGCCTTGACCTGCTGGGCTCCGGTGATCCTTCCGCCTCAGCCTTCCAAGTAGCCAGAACTACAGGCATGCGCTACCACGCCCGGCTGATTTTTTGATTTATTGTAGAGATGAGGTCTCGCTGCCCAGGCGGGTTTCGAACCCACAGGCTCAGGCAATCCAGATTTCTGTGTTTTATCTGAAGTTCTGACCTGTCTGAAGTACATTCTGTTAGGGAGAACAATGCACAGATCCGTCTTTGGAAAAATACTTTTACCTTCTGAAACCCAACACCTTGTTAGTCTGGAATCAATTCTGAATAATAAAATCCAGCCGCTTTTGATGGACTATCTGTTACTTTCCACAGCAAGTCTCAAAGCCTCTCTGTGGTAGGTGACCCCATGTCTACTCACATCCTGTTTTTGGCAGTGTTTCTTGCCAGCCACACCCGGCCCTTATGGCTGGATAATCCTGCCCATGCAGGACCTGCCCATTTTGCCACCTGTTTGGTTGACATCCCAACTGATGGGACAACCAGAGAACCCTCACTGATCTGCATGCCCTCTGGGAGCTCGGGACACTGCACAGAGAGGGCCTGTCGGATGGCTAGGCTGATATGCCACACAGAGTGCCATGAAGTAGTTGGGACTACAGACATGTGCCACCACACCTGGCTAATTTTTTTTTTCAAGAGACAAAGTCTCACTATGTTGGCTTGGCTGGTCTCAAACTCCTGGGCTCCTTGTTACTTTTAATTCCCAACTCCCTATAAAATAAAATGAATTACACATTAAAAAAAAAAGGTACAAACACCTGGTGAGCTCAAGCAATCCTTCTGCCTTGGCTTCACCAAGTGCTGCAATTAGTAAGCCACCATGTTTGGCTTCTAATTCTTTTCTTTGAAAAATTTCCCCTTCTTTTCCCTACAAGGAACTCATCTCCATTTTACTTTTTTTTCATATGTTAAACCTGACTATCTTTAATTGTCCATGTTCTACAATGTGTTTCTACTACTTACAGTATTCTTTATTTGACATATATTTATCTAAGTGCCAATTTTTATAGACACATTGCCTTGGTCTTTTTTGATATTTCTGTTCACCTAATGCCATGCTAACATTTAATTTTTGCTATTGTTATAGGCAGAAAAAGTGCACATAAAGAACAAGAAATGATAACTACACAGCATATCACCATGAAGGACACAGCCACTATCAAGTCAGTTGTAAGTTACACGGGTGGGAACCATGGTCATTCAAAGTACAGACCTGGCATTGAGATAACTACATAATTAGCATCATCAACTAACTGTAATTAAATGATGATTAAGTATTTTCTGAACCAAAAGTTTTGTATAATTTGAATTTAGTAAAAAAAATTAACATGACTTTAATTTCATAACCTTATAAGTTAAAAACATAAACAAGTTCATAAGCATTGCTCATATACCTAGTCTTTAAAACATATTGAAGACTTCAAAATTAATAGCTCTGCAGTTAGGATGCTACATAAGAGATGATATTTTACTTTTATGGGAGTAATGCCATGTATATGCAAGTAACCATGGGAAGATTTTTAACTCTGGAGTCTAAATTTTACTGACAAAGTTTAGGGTTCATATATAGTTAAAACAATTATGTTTATACATATGTGGGCAAATAATTAACAATCTTTTTACTCTTTCCCAATAACAGAAATCTTATACTCAAGATCTATTTAAATGGAAAGATTCAAAATATTTTAATCACAGCACTGTATTGACTCAGCATTTTCTAACACATTCAGTAAAAAAAACCTTTGTCAGCAAACAGTATGGAAAACTCCTTAGTGACTGCTCACACCGTAATCACTCAAGAGGTAAACTATATGAATGTTATCTCTGTAGGAAAGCCTTTAGTAATTGCTCAAACCTTAGACAACATGAGATGATTCATACTGGAGAGCGGCCATATGAATGTCATCTGTGTGGAAAGGCCTTTATTCAAAACTCTGACCTTAAAAAACATAATCGAACTCACACTGGAGAGAAACCATATGAATGTCATTTTTGTGAGAAAACCTTCAGTCAATCTTCTAACCTTAGACAGCATGAGAGAATTCACACTGGAGAGAAACCATATGAATGCCATTTGTGTGGGAAAGCCTTCAGTCAGTCATCTAACCTTAGACAGCATAAGAGTATTCACACTGGAGAGAAACCATATGAATGCCATTTGTGTGGGAAAGCCTTCATCAAATCTTCTGCCCTTAGACGACATGAAAGAACTCACTAGAGAGAATGATGAATGTCTTCAGCATATATTCTACCTGAATGACAGTATTATGAATGAAACTAATGTGAGACAACTATCATACCTGTGTAATATAAATACAATTAAAGGCTCGCACATTGAAGAAATACTGTCTGTGATAAGTGTGAAAGATCCTTCAATCATTCTTATCCCTCATTTGACATATACAAAGTCATGTGGAAGAGAAGCCATATGTATGAATTCTTTTTTTTTATTTTTAAAAATATTTTACTTAACCCAATATATCCAAAATATTTCAACATGTCATCAGTTTCAACAAGTAACCAATGTAATCAACATAAAAGAGATTACTAACAAGACAGTTTGCATTATTTTGTGTTAAGTCTTCAAAATCTGGTGTGTGTTTCAATCAGATGTATGAATTCTATGTGGCAGAACATCAATCAGTGGTTTGACATTGATGAAATGAGACAACTTGCTTTGTAATACAATTAATCTAGAAGTCTTCAGCAAGAGTTCTAAGCTTTAAACACAGTAGAGGACTTGTATAGGAAAGAACTCCTAGGTGTATAGTCAGTATAGGAATGCCTCTATGATTTATTGTTAAGCAACATAAGCAAAATATACTTGGGAGAAGCCCTTGATCTGTAGTCACTATGAACAAAGATTCAGGCAAACATCAAGTGCATGTGCGCACGCATACGCACACACACAAACTCAGTGAAGGAATAACCTATTTTATAGGAAATAAGAGGATGAAACTTTTTGAGAAATACCATAAAATTATTCTAGAAATGATTTAATGAAAAACTGTAGTATTATGGTAAATATTCAGGGTCTGCTTATGAGTAAGAACATGTGGTAATCTGTTCCTTGTTTCTATGATAGGTCACTGAGTATGATAGACTCTAAATCCATCCAAGTGGCTGTGAAGTTCATACGTTTGTCCTTTATGGCTGCATAATATTCCATCATGAATATGTACCACTTACCACTTTTAAAAATCCAGTCCAACTTCAATGGGCATCACAATTGGTTCCACATTTTTTCTATTGTGAATAGTGCTGTAGTCAACATGTATATGCAGGTTTCTTTTTTGTAGAATGATTTGAGTTACTCTGGGTATATTCCCAGATTATATATCCCAGAGGGATTGCTGAATCATAAGGAAGGCCATTTCATAATACTATAAGAAAGGGATGGGCAGGGGGGAAGGGGGTACATCAATAAGGGTACCTAAATCTCAAACCAGGCAAAATGGGGACCAAAGGGTGGCCCAGACTTTTCACACAATGTCCACTTGTATACCTAATCCTAAATTGTGCCCCACATCTTTAAAATAAAATACATACTAAAAAAAAGAAAAGAAAAATTGTGATAACTCCTTTATTCATAAATAACACTCATGGCACATATAAGGATTCACACTGGACAAAACAGTGTCATGAATGAAGGAAAATCTTCAGTGGTCACTCATTTCATAATCAACACAAAGTTTCTTTCACTGAGGAAGTACAAATTCTAAAATCAAAATGGAGAAAGTTTCAATTGTTTTCACATTAGAAAACTGAGTCTGAAAGAAACCAACCAAAAAAGACTCTAAAAGAACCTTATAACATACAATTTAGCAAGTCATAATTTTGAGAAGAGCTATCTATGAAAAAAATACAGCATTTAAATGTAGTATAGTGAAGCTATCTAGAAGTGTGTAACATTGGATTTAAATTGAAAATAGATCAGTTAGATCTAACTTGCAAATATAAATGAGACCAATACTTGCAAGTATTTAAATGATAAAACTTGGTACTGAAAAGTCTAATATAATGGTAATGTTGTAGTTTTCATTATGTAGTTTTAAATGCATAGATGTAGGTCTGGACTTCCTGTTGTATGGGTAGATACTTAGCTTCATTCCTGAATCTTTCATTTTCACAACAGTTTCTTCCACACAACTAACTTCCCATTCCACCCAGAGCAGTTTCCATCAATGTCTAGGGGGTAAAACAACAGGGAACTTTACCTTTCCAGGTTTCTCAGAGTGCCATGACCCTGGTTCATGGCAGCAGTTTTATAAACATCTAACCTTAATCTCTTGAGGCTCCCCGGTCCTTGTCTCTGACTCTGGGAACTACCTGGGGACAGAGAGATAGGCATTTCTGCTCTTTCATTCCACAAATTATTATTTGCATTTTGACTCTAAAGCCTCTGGGTATGGGCAGAAGTTCATCCCACAACCGCATCTCACATCTTATTCAGGTCAGTCCTGAGACAAATGACATAAAGGAAGTGTGTGGCAGCATACATCATACTAAAATATAAAACACCCTAGTGTGATAAGTCACAAATTTATATGCAAGTAATCACTGTTGTGTGATGTTTTAAACAACTTGGAAAAGTTAAAGCTATTCAGTGAAACATCTGGATATTATATAAAGCTTCATGCCTATCACTTTGTTTATAATAAGTAACAGCACTAACTTGAAAACTTAATGGTGAATGTAAAGCTTAAACAAGACATGTTTTCCAAATTTGGTAGTAACCCAAAGAGAAAAATAAGGAGATTGAAAATGTTCCATCACGTTTCAAAAGATTGCTTTTGCTGAAATTAAAATGTGTCTGGCTCACATACGCCACAGAATTCTTCTCCTTATTTGTTTTCATATTTAATTTTTAGCACAGTAGACTATTTTCAAATAAAATTTCCAAGGATTGTATGACTGTAAATAAAATTGAGCACCATAAAGACTGAATCACTTATCATAAGGTTTATTAAAACAAAAGAGCTTTAACATTTTCAAACTGGTAGTGTATAGATGATATTTTGCATATACTGGCCAAATAAATCTTAAAATGACACACTATTAACCAAAATAAAATGTCACTATATTCTGGTGGAAAAATATATCTCAGGTTGTTAGACAGTACTATAGGAAGAAGTTCATAGCTAGTATGTCTAGAGAACTAATAATGTAGCTAATGATTTTAAAAGATTTGTGTGAGATCTGTAAAAAAATTAAAATTAATTTTTGTTCACCTGAAAGTCACATTAGACTTGAAATACTATTAAGAATATAGGAAGTAAGCCCACTAAGACATGGGCACTAAACAGTGTAATGCTGAACAACTACTGGGTCAATGCTGAAATCAAAGCACAAATTAAAAGATTCAAGGAAACAAATGAAAATGAAGAAACATCTTACCAAAACCTCTGGAATTCCATGAAATCAGTTCTAAGAGGGGAATTTATATCTCTATGAGCACACATCAAGAAAATGGAAAGATCACAAGTGGAGAG